ACGCAGCTCTTATTTTTCACTTTCTTTTAGCAAGAAATAACTTTGTGTATTTATGTAGCAATTCTCTTTTTCACTTTACATAGCAAAACCCTAGTAAAGAAATTGAAAATATATTTATTGTTGATTGGTCTCATCAAAATTTCTACAAATGGTACATTTGCAGCAGGATATAGGAAAAAGAAAAACGGCGCTAAAGAAGGAAAAGAAGAGTGTGGTAAAGTTTATGAGTGTAGGTTTTGTTCCCTCAAGTTCTGCAAATCTCAAGCTCTTGGCGGACATATGAACCGCCACCGCCAAGGCAAGTACTTCTCTTTTCACTTGGTTCGATAAATAAAAATAAGACGAGTTATCTGTTACAACTAGTAAAACAATAAAGTTGATATGATAATATAAAAATTTCTTACTCAGAGTCATGTATACAACTTAAACTCATAGAAAAATCTTTTTCCTTTTTATTTCAAAAAAACAAAGCGAAAAGGAAAACAAGATAGGTTTTGAGCAAATATGAATTACATAAGTGAAGGAGTATTTTTTATTTTTTTTAGAAAAGAAAATAAATTGGGTTATAAATTTGAGCGTAACAGTATTGGCCAATGATTTTGCAAAGAGGCGTAGTCATGTCAATCTTGTTTTCATAACAAAAGTAGTAACAGTTGGTTGCGGGGAATATATAATATTCTTGGTAAAGGCTCATTCATTCATATATTCTTTGATTTGATTTTGATTTTTATGTTTGAGTTGGGAACAGAGAGGGAGACAGAAACTCTGAACCGGGCTCGTCAGCTCGTCTTCAATAACGATAACCTAATTGCTCCCCCTCACTTAGGGTATGTACATTCCCTCTACTGAACTCTTTCCTTTTTTTTTTTTAATCGTATTTTTCCTTTTTTATTCGGTTTTAAAAAAATGACACTTTTCTAGTTTGGATATTTTTAATTTATAAACTTCTTATCTTACCTCTAATGACATCGTATTATTTTCGTAAAATAGTTATGGCATATTTAAGATCACAAAATCGAATATAATTTTTAAATTATGTTTCCTATATCATATAGCACCATATAAAATGAAAAGGAAGAAAATACTTTTTTTTTTTGCCTCTCTTTGAATGAGCGCGCGCTCTCTCTATATATATATACCGTTATCGTAATGATTTTTTTTTGGTTATTTAGTTGTGTATACCGCCTATATCACATCCTCACAGGGTGCGACCCTTCTCCGGACCCTACGTGAACACATGATGCTTTGTTTATCGGGCTGCCTTTTTTTTATATATACTACTTAGTGTTGGCTTAAGATGAATTTATACGGAGAGATATAATCGGTGAGAATTTATATAGCCATTTCCAAGTTGTTTGGTACTAAGAGAATGTTTATATTGTTTATTTTTTGGTGCAGTTGCCAGCCAATTCCTCACGGAGTTGGAGGTTATCATCACCAAGCAGGAAATATTGGTACTGATCCAACACTCTCATATAGACCACCGCCACCACCAGTTTATCCAACAAGGTTATTTTCCGGCAACTCTACCACCCTCTTGCCACCAGGACAACCACCACAACCACCTCATCAACCGCCGTACATGTACCCTTCTCCGCCGCGTCTCCTCTCCTTTTCTTCTCAATATCCAACCGGCCATTCAAACGATTACTTTGTTGGCCATGTTCTTTCTGGAAATTCACACTCATCAACTCTTAATAACTTCATGGGATCAGCTTTACCTGATGATAGTAACAATTACACTTGCATTGGTGCACCAATAGGACATGGACTTGGACTTGGCAATGGAAGTAATAGAGGCACAGAAGGGCTTAATAATAATGGATTTTAGTACTCTCTTCGTTTAAGTTTATGTGAACTTTTTCGGGTTTGACTAATATTCGGTAGAATTAATAGAGGGAGTAGTTCTTTCTTGTGCCTTTTCCCTTGTGCTATGTTTTTTTTTTATTTTGTTCTTCCAAGTGAGAGACTAAGTGCTAGTCTTAATGATCTTTTTATGTAATGTTGAGAGAGGAGGGTTGAAAAGAGAATACCAAAAAACAAACTGACAAAATGGGGTCAAGGAAAAGAGAGAGAAGTTTTTGGTTTTTCTACAGGTTTGGAAACAGCTTTTGAGCCATTTGCTACTCATACTCTAGCTAGATATCTAGTTTGGCTTTAAGCTAAGGGGATTTGATTGGAGAGTAACTATATGGTTTGCTTTTACGTACAACAAACCTGTTGTAAATGGAACTAGATTTTCAAGGGTTTTGCTCCTCTACATGGGACAACAAAGTTAGATTTCAACTGAAAGTTAAAAGCTTCCTTTTTTGCATTTTTTGCATGGGAATTTTACTTGTCATTGATCTATACATGGTTTCTCTTGTGCCCACCCCCTCCAAAACTCATATTTTTTCTTCTTTCTACGTATCATCTTCCTCTTTAATAGTAGCTACGGAAAGTAGGATTTAAGTTAAGTATTGACATTGTAAGAATTTTTTACATTATCAGTGAATTTTAATGTGTCAAAGTATGTTATTTATCATTTTTATCAAATTATCAATTAGTAATTATTATGAGATTTAATTATAATTATCAAATAAATAATTATTAGTTGATTGTATATCGTTGAGTTCGGTGGTATCTTCTCATCAATTTAAAGGTGTTACTATGGACCGAAGGAAAATGAAATGGAGCATCTTATTTTTGGAATATCAGTCTGTGAATGCTAAGAATTTATGTCGTATTGTCATAACTACTGTTTTCCGGCCTTTTACTTTCAGTCATTTATAAAACGACAGTCGTCAAAGAGCTTAATTTCTCATCGTTCCACATCTTAGTACATTGATTGCCACGTGGAGCATGATTGAATTCAACACTAATTTTTTTTTTTATGAGAAGGATTTAAAGGAAATAAATCATTCAACACTAATTCATGATTGATCATCTAATGGTAAAAAACAAGTAAAACTATATCAATGTTGACCATGAACTTAGTAGATTGAACCACTAACTTTTGATTATATCTGATATAAACGAATCCAAAATTTAGAGTTAAATATGTCAAATAAGTGTGATCTGATCTTTATATATGTATATTTACGTCAGAGGCGGACCTACCCTAAAGGATAGGGGTTATCGCCCCCCGTTACCTCGAAAAAATTATATATGTGTATATATCTTAAGTAACTGGTATATAATATGATTAGCATTCTAGGACTCAAAATTTAGGTAGCTGCATTGCTTGATTTCAGGGGGCACAAGTTGACTTTTAGTGTATTGGTTGGGTTCGATTCTCACTCCAGTTTGACATTTGCTCAAATTTTTATTCGATAATACCTCCGCACTTTCAAATTTTGAATCTGCCTCTGGTTCACGTTGAAAGCACACATAATCCGTCCTAAATCCTCCTTCAATAACTGGTCATCTTTTCCTTAATTAAACGCAGGTAAAACATGAACAAAATGTCCATTAGAACCCCTATGATTTGATCTTATAAGGTACTAGAAATGAGATGACCAGAAAATGTGATTTAGTGCTTGTTTACCCGTAAAACGGTACAGTTGAATTTATAATGTTGTTTATAGACAAGTGAATCGATTTGACCCAAAAAGTATGAATAAATTTCATGGGTGGTCATTCAACTTTGTGTATATTACCCAAAAGTCATTTTTCTTTCTTTTGTTATACAAAAATTATTTTACTATGCTCTAGTTATCACAATAATCACTTTGATCATATTTTACAAACCTTTCACCTGAAAAGTCTATTATGCCCTTGACATTATAAATCCTCTCATTTATGTAATACCTTCTATATTATATGTTATATAATATATTTTTACCCACAGATTTTTCTTATAATTAAAATAACTTAATATTATTTTATTTATTATTTTATAATATATTTGTAAATTTAATTTTTCTTAATATTAATTGTCAAGATATATAAGTAGCATTATTAAATTTCTCAGTAATATTACCGTGAATAAATCTCAAGTCCACGTTCTTAATCATGCTTAATAAAATATGTTTAATAAAAATTAAAAAATCAAACCTCATTGATAACCCAGCCATACCCATTAATTTAATAAACAAAATACCCACATTCAGCAAAATGACACACCAGATTAATACTTTCAAATAAATAATATTAACAGATAAATCTTTAAAGAACTTAATACTAAAGACAAATATCTTTGAAACTTCTTTAAAAATTTCTATTGACTATAAAAGAACTATGATTTTTTAAACAAATCTGTTTCTATTATTTAAAATAAATATTTTTTTATCATTTTTATAATTAAAATATTTTCATGTTTGAATATGATTAAACAAATTGAGTGTCATAAAAAAAATTAGATGCATGGATATATTATAAAAATAATAAATAAAATAATTTAAAGTATTTTTAATTATAAGTAAAATACCTAGGTAAAAATATATTATATAGTATATATATAATATAGAAGGTATTACATAAATGGGAGGATTTATAATGTCAAGGACATAATAGACTTTTCAAGTAAAAGTATTATAAAATCTGGCAAAGGTCACTTTTGTGATAAATAGATCAAAGTAAAATAATTTTTGTGTAACAAAAGATAGATTTGTGACTTTTGAGTAATGAACACAAAGTTAAATGATTTTTACGTAACAAAAAGAAGAAAAACGACTTTTGTGTAATGAATACAAAGTTGAATGACCACCCATGAAATTTACTCCAAAAACTATTAAGTAAGTAAAAACAAAAGAATTATGAAATAAAATTAAAGGAAATACAAGGCTGGTTATGAGCTTAATCTTTTCAGTAGCGGAAGTACAAGTAATATTAGAAGTAGAAGAAAGTAAATGATTTTATAATTTAGAGAGCAAAAGATAGCTTTTTGTGTACATAATACTTCATGTCCACAAAATGATGCTAATTCTCCTATTTATAGCCTTATTTAGGGAGGCAAGATCGCCAAATCAAGCTCCTCTTGAATGAGAATAAAATCGTCATTGATGGCTGCACAGCGGTTGGCTATAAATGATGATATTTTCTATAACAGTTGATCATTGAATGTTATCCGATATTAAATCGTTGAATCTTTATTGTCAGCTACTCTGCCTTCGAGATTCATCCAGCACCAATCACATCCTCGCATTCGGTACTAGTTATCTGCTGACTTGTATTCTGCCTGTTTTCAGTTCCACTTGTCACCTCATTATTCGTCCAACTGTCACTAACCAATTTTACCCTTGCCTGCTTGCACGCATTTGCTTAACTAAAGAAACCTCAAGTTCTTGCTCGATAATAGTTTGAAGGAACTGTTGTAAGCAGTCGACTAGCTTTAGTATTTGATACTTGTTCTCCTTACACAGCACACGCATAGACACATCTGTATCATGTATCGCCAAAGAGACGAAATTAACCCTTATGTTTCGGGGTAATTCTAATATATATAATCTCTTAATTATATACTTAATTAGTTCTGGTTCGTTAAATTTTTCAAACGTGGGCACTTTTTGGTTTCGTAAATCATTTAATAAACTCTAGCTCTTAGATTTAATGAGAATTGTTAAAAAAAAATTAACTAGAGACTTAAAGAAAGTCTCGTCAAATCACATAAATAGCAACCCCAAAAAGTATACCAGACATAAAAAATAAGATAAATTGCATCTTAGAAATCCTGAATTTTCATGGATCGCCAAGACTCTACTTACTTTTTTCACGGGCGGAAGGTGGTAGGATTAGAGAGAGAAAAGAGAAAAAAGACGAGGTCTTTATGCAAATAGTTTGCCAGATTGACTGTTTATTTTTTCTAATCAATATACATAAATTATATACAATTATATACATATTATAAATGAATTACAATATAATTATACATCCACGCCAGTCACTTTTAGTTTAAACGATTAGGTAACAACCATTTAGGTTAATTCTTCGTAAAGGGAATAATTGGTAAATATATATAGAACCTTGCACAAATATACATAGGCAGCAAAGTATAAGTGCTCTACTAGTGAGATAGTATTACTTAATCCTCACGACAACTTTTTCATTTCTTCTAATAAATTTCATGGATTAATAAATTGCAAATTTTAATATCTGTAATTACAGCTAAAGTTATCAATTTCTTTCTTGTTTTTTGTAAAGCTAAACTCTCTATTGCATAGGGTTTTCAACTGTTCATTTTAAGGGTGGTTTATGTACCCAAGAATTACCAAATTGAAGTTAGGGTGGTTGGGAACAATTTGCAGACCAAAACAAAAAAGCAACACGGCCAAAAGCTGCATATGATTTTGAACAAGGAGATGAGATTTAATTTATCAAGTTACTCAGCTAGTCTATATATAATCTCTGTGCAAATTAAAGTAGAAATAGCTATAGGGTTCAGTGTCTGAATGAAAGCAGCAAAAAAATGGCAACTCTATTGGCAGGTCAACACTATACACTTTTTTCATACTTATGGGACTAAACCTAAACCTTTAGACCCCTAATATGTATAAAGAATCCAAAATCCCACTAGGTTAAGCTGGACTACTGCTATCTAACCAGCACCTGTGAATCTATATCATGGCATTTAAAACATAAAAGTAACTGTACTATTAACATGCTTTACTAATACAAGTCCATTGGTCAATCTGAAGTTAATAAGCAGCTTTGAGAACCCTTTAGTGTGTGTTATTTTAAGCACCTACTGTGGTAATTACCCTAACACTCCAAAGGAAAGCCCCGTGCACGAAACTTCCCATATTTACGCAGGGCTTGGGGAAAAACTGCACCCAAAGGGGTGTGATGTAGACAGCCTAGACTGATTTAACGGTTCGAACCCGTGATCTATAGGTTAAACGGCTCTCCTTCATTACTCTAATATTCTATCCTTTCAAAAAGAATGATACTATTTTTTTATTAATCTGTCACTGAGAAAAAAAGTGACACTTTCTATTTTACTCTTAACGATAAGTTTTTATAACCACACAAATATTATGACATGTTTAAGATTACAAATTTCAAAAGTTTTATAATCACACAATAATGTGACATGCTCTTTACATAAGATAGCAAATTTCAAAAGTATTCCTTTTTTCCTTATATTTTTTTGTCCAGTTATACTACGTCGTATAAATTTACATAAATGGAGAATTAAAGTGAAAACTATTAATCACCAAGGATCCTTTATACTTAGCTCCTGTTTGGCCATAGATTTTGATTTTATTTTTTCAAAAAAATAAATTGAAAACATTATTTGTTAATGAAATATGATCCAGTTTTGAGGGAACAAATAAAAATTGTTCAAGTTCCCAAAAACTTGGGTGAAAATGTTTTTTCCAC